TAGAGCGTGTCCAGAGAAGGGCTACAAAGCTGGTGAGGGGTCTGGAGGACAAGTCTTATGAGGAGTGGCTGAAGGAAGTGAGGTTGTTTGGCCTGGAGAAGAGGAGGCTGAAGGGAGACCTTATCACCCTCTACAACTACCTGAAAGGAGGTTGTAGAGAGGTGGGGGCTGACCTCTTCTCCCTGGTGACAAGTGATAGGATGAGAGGAAATGGGTTCAGGTTATGTCAGGGGAGACTTAGATTGGATATTAGGAAAAATTTTTTCACTGAAAGAGTTATTAAACATTGGAATAGGCTGCCCAGGGATGTGGTGGATTCGCCATCCCTGGAGGTGTTTAAAAAAAGGGTAGATGTGGTACTTGGGGACATGGTTTAGAAGTGGTTTTGTCAGGGTAGGTTAATGGTTGAACTTGATGATCTTAAAGGTCCCTTCCAACCCCAGCAATTCTATGATTCTATTTCAAGCATTATTTTCAAATAGTACTAACTCTAAAAGTATTTTTACAATATTTTAAAATATATTGAAGTGTGACTCATTGTAATCTTGCTAAGAGACAATTTACTGAAAAAATGGCTATCTGCAAAACATATGCCAACAGCTATTGTATCATTAATTCAGTTTAAGGCTATGAAGGTACACTTAAATAAATTTTTGGTAATTTCTCCATTAACAGGTACATCTTTTATAAGTTTTAGATTCTATGGTCCTCTAGAGTTGTGGCATTAATGATCATCTTTAATTTTATCCTAGTGACAGAAAATAATTTGCATTGTAGTACCCATTTCAGCTTCTTATAAAATTGGCTCTCTGGTCACCTCCAATACAAATGAAGGATCTGAATTAAGCTGAGGAAGTCAATTAAAAATTATGCTTGTTAATTTTGCATTTGACTTTTGACATAAGTATTTAGTTAACAGTCTCCTCTTAAATACTTAGAAGTTGAACAAGCTATATTGTTAAGCCTATTCTTCTTTAAAACATCAGAGCAAGGTTTTGTTCGGTTTTTAAGCATCTGCCTTTCTCTTCCCTATTTTATACTGGAATATATTTTTATAATGGAAAAACTGCTGTTAGTCTCCAAAATGTGAATTGGTAAAAACCTGTGCAACAGCAAACAAAATTAATAAAACCCAAGAGAGGATGGTGAATTAAAAAAAAAAAAAAAATCAAAATATTTAGAAAATAGAAGACTTTTCCAGGCGATTACTTATATTAGCTCATATGGTTAAGGGATGTACACAAACTCCTACCTTCCCAGTAACAGATTTTTAGATACAACTCAAAGGCAACATTTAGAAAAGTGGATTCAATTATAAGAAGTACTTCTATAGCAATGCTTTGGTATCCGCTCCTTTCATATAAAGTATTTCAGTAAGCATGTGATCATAGACTGGACTGAAAAATAGGCTTGAAGATTTTAATGAATCCTTATTTAGCAAATACAGCCCATGGAACTATTTAAATGCTTTAAAATTAATATGCATATAAATACACATACCTTAAAGAATTCTTTCTTTTCAACTCGTTCATTGCCATCTGTATCCAACATTTTAAAGGCAATTTGAAATCCAGTCTGGGGTTCTGCAACAAATTGCGAAAGAATTTTATTGTAAATACACACACACACTTACACTAGTACTTAAATATTTTAATGCAAAAAGAATATTGTGTATGGTTCAGTTCTCTGTAGTTATGCATGTACATATTTCCAGTAAACCATGTGTACCTCCTCGAATATAAGCAAACATTTTAAACACCTTTTTACTACCGTTTCAAGGGATGATTAACGCAGTGGCAAAGCAAGAAATGCCAACAGTGCCTAGATACAGCCATGGATGTCCATCTGATCCCAATGACTGTAAAAATATTATATGTCTTACTGTTCTTGTCTTGGATATTCTCTATAGATGTCTCCATAATCCCATGTGACTTCTGAAGTCTAGCTCTGCCTTGTTTATTAGAGCTCCTTTTCAGGTGAGAAGACTGGAAAGTGCCATGAGAAACCAAGAATTATTCCCAAACTGTGTGAAAGAGCTAGTGTACTTCTCAAGTGCTTCTTGCAGGCGTTACTGCGTGCCAGTATTTGCAGTCTTCCCCAGCAAACAGACAGATCTTGTAATCGCAGCCAGCTCTCTCGGCTCCCACTCCCGCTGTGTTTGCCCCAAGCCTTTTTTTTCTTCCCTTCTCCTTCCTCCCTAAACAATGTACTTAAATGTTACTGAGATGTAATAAACCTCTCTTTCTGGCCTTTTTGGACAAGGACATGTTTTGTATGACTCCCATCAAGCTGATTTTTTCAGGAATTTTATACAATTTTACCCTGCATTTCCTTCCCCAAGTGGATGTTTCTTTTCAACACAAAAATGTAATGAGTTCTGAATCTTGCAGGCGCTATAAAAACACAGTGTGTTTTGAGCTCCTTCCCACAATTTCCTGATCTTACTTTGCTTACAGGAGGTGGCCTTGCGCATTAGCAAGCCCACACAGGAGCAGCATGCTGCTGAAACGTAGTTACAGTTCGCTGCAGTAGCAAGCACTTATCCCTGGAGCAGGTGAATTAATTCTACAACCCAGTCAAGTCAGGCATTAATATGAAAGCCACAGACTTATCGTCTCTAGAATATATTCATGTTTCCAAGAACAATGTTGGACTCACGAGGGCAGTGAAGCAGTATCTCTAAAACACTCCAGAGCCTTCAGAGTTTTTCTTTTGGAAATATATTCTTCCAGCTCCCTCCTGTAAAGTTTTAAGTCTTGCCTTTTTTTTTTTTTTTTTTAAAGAATCTTTCTGCAAAAGGAACAAGCTAAAGAAATAGTCCATTCCTTTTAAGGGGTAACAAGATGGTTAAAGAAAGTACTATTTTTACATTTTAGAAATAACTACCTCTTCAGCAGCCAACTAATGTTCTCTGTGGAGCAACCTTGTGATGCAGGGATATTTTATAAATACCACGCAATCTGCATAGCAGAACCCTTCCCCAGCAACTGGGTTGTAATAATCAAAACTGGATTTCTTTCCATGGAAATGCCGCACGCTACATTTGTGTTACTAGTATAAAAGCAAGAAGCGCCTATCCTATAACACATTTAGAGAATACAAGTAATTGATATATTTAACAGTAATTCATACCATCTGTGTTTCAATTTTCAGATAAGAGAGCTGTTACTGAAAATATAGGACCTAAAGCTGCTTATACTGTTCAGAGATGACATACTTATCTGATATGATGTAACCCCAAAGGTATGTGTTCGTAAAATAAGCATAGTTCAAAGACTACCTCAGACATATTTGTATTTAATTAGAATCAGGCAAAATTCCAAAATCTGAACAGAAGAGCTTGATCTCAGCTGTGAGCGCAGGTTAGACTTAGGTGCTTCCCTTCCAACTATTCCTACATTGACCAAGCTGTCTGCTTGTGTGACTGGCGAATTGAAACGAAGCTTTGAGCAAAGGTGACAACTTCAGTTCCGGGCTTCCTTCGCTAGGCAGGGCTTTACCAGAAGCTCCATTAACCAATTGCTGGAAATTAAGTTCAATAGAGCAGTGGAAGAAAAAAAGATAGTGATGATACAAGGCACACAGAAGAGAAAAAGGGATCACAGGAGCAAAATAAAACATTTGTCTGCCACAAAATTACATTTTCAAGTTCAGTGTTGCTACAGACAGTGCTTTTGTACGACAGGCAGGGTGGTCTGGTAAGCAGTGACCTGGAACTGGGACTCTGGAAACCTGGTGATTTTTTTCCTATTTCCCTATTGCTCTGTTGGTGACTCAGAAGACATCATTTAAATATTAATGGCTGCTTTAAGAAATTTCACATTAATTCTCACTAGTGAGACAGACACGTGTAACTGGGGGTCGACTGACATGGGATACTTGTTAGGCAAAGATAGAGGCACTAACACTTGTTGACATTTGCTTTCAAACTGATCACTATCTTCTGTGTAACCAAAGGAGCAACTGCATTTTTATCCTGCTCCAAAAAGTGCCTTTGTTTTTGCAGTTCAATACATTCTTATATAAATTCTCTGAAAAATAATGTTACTTGATTGTCTGGAGAAGTGTAACAACTTGCCCTGATTCTGCTTCAATTTTCTAATTGTTTCACCCAGTAAATCAGCATGAATTTACTTTTAGCTGCCACGGATTTTTAAAGAAATAGAATCTTTGGCAGCTATTTCTGCAACTTTAATTAAGGTATTCTGAAGTTATGTGGTTGTGCTTATTTAAAAAAAAAAATCCCTCTTCTTTGAGTTGCAACAAATATTTTTAAATCAGCTTTCTTAAACTGCTAGACTTACAGTACTTCTGATTTTATAAAGAATTTGAACACATGGTATAACTCATGTTCAAGTTGCTTGCAGCACTGAACAGTCACTACTGGTGAAACAGTACAGTTGTATGGTAAATAGGTTATATTGATTTATATATACTATGCAATATAGTGTATTAGTTGAAGTTCCTGGTAGGAACCAATGCAGTTCTGCTGAGAAACAATGCAAGTTGTAAAAGAGCTACCTAAACTCTGCAAGGTGTGTGCAGACAACCACTGTCTGTGAAGACTGGACTCTGGAGACCAACACTACCTGTTCTTACTACACAACGATACAGTGGATTTCTACAGCAAGAAAAACTTGTCAATTTGTTTACGCCCCTAACATGGTCCTTGCAGCGACGGAAGTGATGAGACTCAAGCATCTGCACTCCGTTGGGGTAAGAACAACTGCTTCCTTCTCTCCTTTCCCCATCCACTGATACCATGAGACCTAGTATGCTTGGTTTTGTCCCTTGCTTAGAATGTTATACCTGTGTAAGTCAGTCAAACAAGACTGCATGTGGACTATTACATGGACACACACGCAGACTGCTTCGCTACTAGTCTATGGGTCTCGCTGCATAATGTTCATTGCACACACCTTATCTCAAATCTCGGTAATTTCCAGCATCACCTACACTTCATCAGAACAGCATAGGGGGGTGGCAAGCAGGGCACAGAGTAAGTATGGGTGAGGAAACCCAGAAAATCCAAGATCACTTCCACGCACAAACAAAAATTGCCTGCTGTTTGCAGTTTAAGCAAGTATCAAATAAAATAATTTTTTAAAAAAATTGTCTCATAGAGAAAAAAGAAGGAGGCAAAGGAGGGGGCACAAATACAAGGAAAATATTTGGAGGAAATAAAGTCAAAAGGAACAAAGTAAAAAAAAAGGATTAAAAAGTCAAACAAAAAGACACTGAAGAAGTCAACTGTTTATGTATATCATCCATTGCATATCTGAACACATGCATAACAGGCAACAACCTTTCAGACACCACTACAGCTTTTTACACCACTACATAAGATATATTGTTAATATGTCATTGTCCAAAATAACTAAAATTACTATCCAGGAGACAAATTATTTATCTTCCCCCACTGTTGTTCTTCCCTTCATTATATAGTCCTGTAACCAATTACTTTCTTCTCTCAAAGTCTCTTGAAAAACTTTACTGATCCCACGGTGCAATGATTATCACAGGTTTTGAAGTACTACTACGGACCAATGATGACACTATGGAAGTAAGTTGCAATCAAAGTTATATCCATTTATATTAATGCCTTATCATTCTATATACAATAGTTTACGTTTTACAATAATGTGGAAATGTAGAAGTTAAATATCAGAAAAAGTTCCTAGAAAGCTGTTAGTAGCTGAGTATTTACACATATGTATTCTAAATATGTAATACTTACTCGTAAGGATAGTCAGCAAAAACAGGTACTCTGCGTAAGATATCAACCCTGAAATAAAAGAGTTAAAAAATGACTTGCAAAAAACCCTAAGAAAACTTATAGCAAGACCTGAAAGATCAAATCTTATAAATATAAAAAATTTAGTTCAACATCATATTAAATAGGTTATTAAAGTAAGCCACATTATTATTTAATAAAGGTTTTACTTCTGTTTTTAGTGCTCTGAAGGTAAAATTCCCTATCCAGAGACTCATCAATGTTCATGTCTAATCAAGAAAGTAAGGTTTATTTGGTATTAATAAAAGGCCTACACTAAATCTTTGGATTCTCACTGAAAACATTCAATGTTTATATAAAAGGCAAATAAATTAAATGCACTTTGTCACATTTAGTACCTGGGAGGAGAACCACTCTAACATTACCCCGAAGGATCAAAGTCCTCCATCCTTTGGCAGGCTTGCGAAGGCGGAGAATAGCTTCCATCTAATTCTCAAGGGGAACATGGCAACACGCAAAGCTGCCAAGCTGCTAGATTGTGCTGATAGCACTGCTGGGCCGTGTGCCAAGAGGAGGCTTCTTTTTTTTTTTTTTTTTTTTTTTCAAAAATAGGAACATGTCCTTTCTACAAGGTGAAAGTATTTTCCCCCCTTTTGAAGGAAAATTCCAGTGTTTTCCTTTGAAATACCGCCTTAAGTGAACAGCCTGAACAAACACAAAGATGTGATAGCGTTAAAATAGAGCACACAAGCTAAAGATAGAGCATGCATAACGAGGGTGGTTAAACAACAGAATCTGAACCATCTGCCCTGTAATAACGTTTGGAGAAAAAATATAAAGGGCTTTTTTATAAATCACTTTTTGAAATAACTGAGCTACTTTTAACTTGTGAGCTAAACATTATACAATGCTGAAGTTGCTCAAAATAATGAAGTTCAAACACACCTATCTGTGCAAAGATAAACTATTTTTTATAATTTATATTTAGTTAATTGATATATAAGGAACCCACTTAAGCTTCAGTGATAAACAATTAACTTCTGATAAATTAGTATGCAGAGCCAACAGCATTTGTATTTGACCTCAGATAGTGACTTAACACTCTAAGTTTTAAGTACCAGAGTTTACCAACATTAAATTGCTGAACGCAGAGTCTGAAAATCTGAGAACAAGACTTAAAGACAGGTCTAATGCTGATCCTGTTGCCAACTTGTTGTGGTTCCATATCTCAGCTTTCCTCTCCACCAAAATAGGGCTATTCACCCTACTATCCACCATGTATCGTGTAAATCAGCAAAGTACGAGAGTCATACACTACACTGTGGAAATAAAAAATACTTTAATCTCAAAGATTTAGTTTTGCTTATAAGTTTTAGGGTTGCTGCCATTGCAAGAATGTAAATTATTATTGGCATTGCTGTAAAACTTGGAATCGTGTTCCTAGACAAAGCATCCAGGATTTCTACAAATTCAAAACGAAACAAACAGAAAGAACCCTTACCCCATTTTTTTAGCTTATACGCTGAAAACAAGATAAATAAATGTATGGAAACAAATAGGGGAAGAAAAGAAATCAAGCAGATAGTGTGATGGCACTGACCAAGATTCCTGCTCCCTAATTTTGTTTTGTGTGTGACACAGCAAAAAAATGTTTAAAGGAAGAATATAAAGGAAGACAAGGAGGTAACTTTTCAAATCTATCTAGAAAACACCTTCCAGTCATGGACTGCAATGGTATCAGCACAAAGATCCCTGCCTGAAAATTCAACCAGCAAGCGATGAAGGAGAAGTGGGAGTCTGCTTCTCAGTTGTCTTGAGATGTTCTGCACAGGGATAGACTAGGGAAGACCTGGAAAGTGAAAACAAGCAGCTTGTGCTAGATAAAATAGAACAGGGAGAGCCCAGTGCTGGGATACAAAAGAAGAGATGAGACTCTCAAAAGAGTCATGTAAGAAAAACATATTTATCAAAGCATTTCAAAGGATATTAACAAGGCAGATATGTTTGTTAAAGTCAGAGGAAAAAAAAAAAAGTAATAATTCAGATCTATAATGCCAAGCGCCTGAAGAATTTTAGCTATATGGGTAGACAGGGAACATTGTACCTTATCAAATTTTGCAGAAAGAATCTGCAAAATTTATATGGAGGTGATAGGATGTAAAGAAAAGACCAATTTAAAGACAACACCCTGCTTATTGGCTCAAGGGAGAAGCATGATGGCTCTATTCTCTTGAATTGCAGAGGGCTGGAAAGAAGAGCCTTGCAAGAAATGGCAGGAACGAGACACAGACTCTGTTTTCATCATCTTATTGTACGCTGATTGAAAAGTTGGTACAGTGAAATAGGTAAAAAGGTAAATATAATAAAAATATGTTAACAAAAAAATAATCTTGATCGTTCCTTAAAACCTGTCTCAGTGCCTTAAAGCAAATCCACAGCCTGTCTGACATTTTCTGGCAGACTGATTATGCTAAAATAATTTGTGATAAGGTTTTTCTTAACCTCTGGACTCATTTACATAAGTTTTTTTTCTTTTAATTTCATTGTCGCTTTACTACCTGTAGCGAATAGCCAATTTACCTTATCAATAAAGTAAATTAAATATTTTGGTAGTTTTCTTTGTACCATACAGTAATCATTACAAAGTTACTCAAATGAAAAGATGCAATGCAACAAATTATTAAAAAAACCAAAACACACAGCATAGAAAAATATATTAACGTCCAAGCAAAACTGAAGATAAAAGCTTCACATACTGTTGAATGACTCAGCATACGTGCAGCCAAGTATTTGCAGTTAGTATTGGCAAAATACTGTCATTTTCTAACACTAAATGAACCTTCCCTATCCCTCCCTGGAAATCTCTACCCTCAAACTTCACAGCAAATGCTGACAGTACAATATTCTTGTTGCTGAATAAATCATAAGTATATCCACAAAATATGACATGAATTTTAAAACTGCCCACTAGAAGGCAGAATTCCCTAGCGTTATGTTTTACAAACTGGACTGAGGACAGTTTTCCCTCTACTTGATATTTAAATAACAATTTGAAGGTAGTTAAAATAATCTCAGCTAAACTGTGGAACAGGTGTAGACTCATTATTCTGGTACTTGTAAAAGCAGTAAATATACACATATATTTACATTTTTAAAATGTAATAATAATGCATCTGAAAGCGAAAGCATCAAAGTCATTAAAAACATGTCATGACCAAAAACCGTAAAAACTCCATGTGTTGTGGAGACATACGCATGACTGCACTGAATGTTCTTGCATCATCTCAAATTCCTACCTGACCTTTGAAGGACAAAGTATTCGGACCCACAGTCCTAAGCAAGGGGAGATCAATGCCTTATCCAGAATGCAGAAGATGTCAGGCTGAACATATCACCAAGCCCACTTTTTGCCAAGCAGTCTGCTGGGAGAGGTGCAATAGAAGAAGGCTGCGCTGATTTGCTATGTTTTCACTTTCTGTTGGTGGATTCCCAGTTTTCCCAGGCAGAGTGCTTTAGGGATTTGCAGTGTCAACCACTAGAAAAAGACAGGCTCTAAAAAAGCAGGGATAGAGTAAGAATATCCAAGAATTAAAGACTGGGAATCCTTTAAACCCAATCCTGATGGGTTTACATGATGATTAGTAATTGGAAAAGGCAGGGAATGACTACTGAATACAAAATCCAGCCTTCCCTAGGATAGGAAAAAATTGTTCAACTTGTTCAGAGGTATTTCCCAGCTGCTGGGTATGCTGAGGCTTGCAGGAGTGGACTGACAAGCAAGGCGCCCAGCTGAAGACCCGTCTGCATCTGCACAAGGATGCAAGAAATGAACCGCAGGCAGAAGAGGCCATGAGGCCAAAGGGCTGCGGGCTGAGATGGAGGGCTGCTCTCTTGGCACAAGCTGCCAGCCATGTCCGTGGAACTGCCGTGCGTGGCAAGTGCGTGGCTCATGCCTGCCAAGGAACTACAGCAGTGCAAAGGCAGCTTTATTTTCCAGAAACATCCATGGGATAAGGGATTCACGCTGAACTCTACGATACAGAAAGTTTGTGAATAGACTCTGCTGGTCTTTCTCATTAGTTTGGGGATGTCAGTCTTTGTTACTGGTGAAATGCTTAATTACTCATCTATTTGGTTTCCTTGATCCTCTTTGTTTGCTTTCTCCCTTCAATTAATTTATGCTAATGAGGTGTTTATTTGGTGTTCTTTAATTCCTTGTTGTTATACAAACAATATCCCAGCTCTCAGAGTTTTCTCTTTATGTAGCCTGATATAAGGTGGAAATGCAGGGTGAAAAGAAACAAAAGCACATCGGTGCTGTGAAGGGCCACCGAGCTCCTGAAGAGGGAGAAATAAGTTCAACTGCTCTTGGAATCAGGGATGCCACTTTACATAACTAGATAGAAATTTTATTTTTATTCTTAGTTTCCATGCATTTAAATTATATAGTGAAACAACAACTTATTAACCAGTCTTAAAAGTCCATTTTGTGCTGAAGTCATCCCTTTAGCCCCTTTCTCTTCTCCAAGTAGGCTTTCCAATTTCTATCGCATCTCCTCCTGCACCTCAGAAGGCTTTCAGTTCCCAGTCCTGCCTCTTTACTCTCTGTTGCATAACTGAGAGATTTGCCAAGGAGGCAGCTACTGGCTAGATGGGGATGGAGTAAAATCCATGAAACCTTCTTTAAAAATACATTTAATTCATATCATATAATGAGATAAAAAGCAAGATGTATTTTTCAGTACCAAAAGTGCTCATTACCTTTATCACCGAGCTCTCTAAAAAAGGTCGGTCCTGGTTTAGCTTTGGCAACACACAGCAGTGCAGCGTCTACCTCCTTTAAAGACACAAACAAGAAAATATAAAGCCAGTTTTGAAATAAAAGTCTATTCAGTTGAGTAACAGAAAGAATGCAAGTTCTTTTGAAGAAGGAAAGGAACATTTTGCTTACCTTTTTTGTCAGTTTCTTGGCTGAGGCTTTACCTATAATAAAAAAAAAATCATCATCATTCAATAACAAACTGACTTTAAACTTTGATCAGGTTCTGTGGCATTTCTTCAGATTTTTATGGGAAAATACTAAGTAATATGAAACAGAGTATTTTGCAACAGGCAGTTTGTTTCTAATTCCCACAACCATCAAGAAAGGACAATGTTTAAAAATAATATGAGCCGTCTGTTCAAATGTTCTTGCAACCTAGAAGAAACCACAACCCACTTTGGTATCTATGACTGACTTACTAGTGTGATTTTGCATACTGGAGCTACAAATGTAGTACAGATTCCAAAGCAAGATTATACAGTAAGAAACAACTGTACTATTTACAAAGGGATTTGCATGCACACATAATAACAAGTGGAGTTTGAGTATGCAAAAGCTAACAAAGAGCTTTTGCAAGAAAAAAAATGAAAATGTTGGTGTTTTATTAAGCAGAAGTAAATTGAACAACTGCCTTCTGAAACAGCATCAGATGAAACCATGCGAACTCCTGATTGTTTATGAGCAGGTTCAAGTCTGTACGCTCAAATAGGGGAGCCACTGGCAGCAGTACAGGTTGTATCCCTGTGTAAATTACCCATTTGAGGAGCTGCGATGTACACTCAGTGGAACGTTTCAGCTGGTTAGGCATAGCCTGCAGAGATCCTGCGGTCATGGACTGGCAGGAGCTGTGCTCCATCCCTTCTCAGCTGATCTGCTCTATCACACTGGTCTGTCTCCTCAGCATTTCTCCTCACACGGTTCTTAAAATCCGGTGTCCTTCACTCCTACCACTCTCAGCCCATCGCTCCCTTCCTTCATCCCCATTTCCTCTGGATTCCAGCCAGCCATTCCCTCCTATTTATTCACACTGAGTAACCCCAAGCATCTGCTCTGAGGACCGGTGGCCCCTCGTGCAGCAGCATGCTTTGCTCCATGCTCCATCTCCAAGGCTTACTCTGCTGCTTCACGGGCATCTTGCACCCAAAGGCAGCGCAGCACTGCTGTTTGGAAACGGATAGGATGGAGGCAGCCTGGTGGGCAGCTGCCAAAAAAACTTCCATCAAGCATTTTCACAGGCCCATGATTTAGCCAGACAGAGCTGCATTCTTGGTAAAACAGCGAATTTCCATAATGCTGGCAAAAGACGTGCCCAGCTGCAGGGGGTCTCCACTAGCAAGTTTTGGCTTTGGGCGAGGGAAGCTGCTGGAACATCTCAGCCAGCAATAGTTCATTTTCCAGCACAGGCAAACCAGTGCCCCAGCCTCTGCTCCCTGAACTGGCAGTAAGAGTTTTGCTGATAAATTCCTCTCCCCCCCCTCTTCCCCCCAAATCAGCCTAAGGCAGACACCTGGCACATAACATTGCAACCCAAATGTTTAAGTTTGACAAAAGTTATAAGCAACTAAAATTAGGGTTTTAATACTGGGGTGTTGAGTGACCCCAGCAACAGGTGTTGCCAGCACCACCTGTTACTAGGGATGAATACATTTTTGTGCAGTGCCTGTACATATATTTACAACACACGCGCATATATAAAGCTTCACAGATACCTTCGAGCTCAAAGGAAGTTTGAAATCCTCTACTTCGCCTTATTTGAGATAAAAGAAGTCAGACTAATAACAGTCTGGGAGAGCAAGTAAAAATCCCTGTATCCAGCAAGGCTGAGTCCCGAGCAGTGCGATGTAACACCGCAGTTCAACACCGTTCACTTCTGCAGAGCACGTTAATGAACGGCTATTTAGCAAATTAAGTGATTCAGATCTCAGCTTTGAAATGTCACCTCCTCCATACAGTGCATTTCAACGTGCAATTAAACTACAGCAGCTCTTTTGGCTCTGGGAGACCCACATGGTGAGAAGCCTTACAAGAGGGAATGAGTCAGGGCTGTAGGTCTGCGAAAAACAGTATCTGAAAGAAAAAAGGGAAAACCTCCTTGCAGTGATTTTCACTGTAAATGTTCTCCGTAGTTATCTGTTTTGAAGCCAGCCATGCACTCTTATTTAGTTAACAGCAGCTCCACTCATTCCTTTCTCCTGGTGGCCCCAAGAGCATCACATCTGGGACAGCAACTGCCACCGCATCGGTGTACTGGGCAGTAGCCTTTTGTCAGCGTGCAGGAGGATGACGAAGGGAGAAAAGCTGAACTCTGCAAGCTGGAACAGCAAAGCCATAAATAACTGATGCAAGGTAAGGAGAAGCACTGGAAGCTACAGCTCAGACACTAGTTGGCCAAGTCTGTAAGGCTCTACACTTGGTTAAGTCTGCGTTTCTCTTCTGCACATTGTATTCAGCACAGTAACTTTGAAACACTTCAGCTACCCAGTATTAGGGAACATATCCTCAGCGAGAATTACCCTACCATGATAAAAATCAAGAAAGAGTTGATGCCGCCTGACCTGTTTCAGAGATGAAAAGGCAATAACAACAACGATACAGAGGTGTCCATGCTACCCTTGACTGGGGAATCTTGGCACCAGTGAAAGGACTAGCAGAGGAGAGGAAGCCTTTGCTGCATGGCAGAAGAGGAGGAGGACAGTCACATCACCCCGGGATGCGGTGAGGGGCAGAACGAGGTGGGTGAGAGTCGGTCCTTGCCCTGACTGACTGCACAAGGGGCTGCTGCTACAATAAAAGAGGAAAAAAAGGCAGGAGGGAAAGGGACAGATTGAGAGACAAACAAAGACATTTCCACTTTTCTAAGTAGTAAATACAGCCGAGTAATAAATGTGGAGCGGTTTAATGGTGGTCTTCTCAAATGGGTTTCAAAAAGAAAAGATTTAATAACCTAGTTGAAATGCCATACAAAAGTCAGCAAACATGTACCAGTAAGCCAGGAACTTTTTTGGAAAAAAAAACCAAACAAAACCCTGACATTTGGAACACCAGTGTTATTTTTCATATTGCCGTTTGTGTATAGTATTAGAATACAATCTTATAATAATGTAATAATTTAAACTGTAGAATGAGTTTCCTCCAATAATTATTTGAATATTTTCTAAGAGTTAAATCCAGCTATATTCTATTGGTCTTGTCACCATATAAAATAATCTGTGAAGACTCAAATCTCGGTTCTCAACTGGAAACGTTAGCTACTTTTATTGTAGCATTCATAATATTCCTTGAATATGAATTTAGCTCTTGGTGCTTCTTCTCTCCATTTAGTCACTTCCTAACGACGAGATCCCTTGAAACACCCACAAGGGAAGATCTGTTAATATTGCACACTACCATATAAAATGTGCAGCCCTCTGAGGAACCAGGTCTTTTAAGGCCTTGTCTACAATAATTAGGAAAAGAAGGTTAACTCCTCTTCACAGAAAATACAAAGGTATGGATAGTTTTCTTAGCCAGTTCGGATGCTAAAAAAAAAAAAAAAAAAAAAAGCTTCTTCGTTTCTATCAATTAAATCTTGATGCTGCCATTCCTAACATATGACTACAAATATATCAGGATCTAAGTCTCAATCTGAGGAACACAGGCAATGTTTATAATTATTAGGAATGACTTCATCTACTAAGTAAAGGATCTGTATGATGCACTTCTCTATAGTTTTATTCATTTACCTTGAAAGATTCTCACTAATTGGTAAATTAATGACATATTAGAAAACTCATTTGTAGTAGTAACAGTCTTACTTTAGTATCAGAAAAATAAACTTGGAAATTTTATTGTTTAGAACTTGAATGAATGAGAAGAAAAATAACTTTTTTTTTTTTTATGCAGACCTGACAAGACTGTGATGGAATTCTGGCTTAAAGGACAGTGAGTATTTTCAGGAGTCTCTACATATTTTACAGATGCTATCATCTTTTCATCATCTATAGTGGATCCATGAAACAACAATGAGGTACAGACACCCCTTTCATGGAAAAAAAGGCACTTTAGCTTTTTAAGTTGAATGAATACCAAGTCTACTTAGAAGCACACAAATTCTGTGATGTTAGCCAAGAAAGTTAGCTGACAACTGTAATTAAGAAAACACTGCCAAGAGCAGCTACATCAGCCTTAATTTGCCCTCGGCAAATCTGGGTATTTTGTCACATACATTTCTTACAATAGATGTGTTTCCATCACCTATCATTTTTTTACACTAAGATGTAGAATGGACCCGACATCAATGCTAGGATTAACATTAGGAAAGGGCTGAATTAAACAAGTACCCACTTGGGTTCAGTGACACCCATTTACACCTGTACAGCTAAGGAAAGGCTTAGATCTGACAAAAGACATTTAAAGCCAAGGAATGAACAAAATAACTAAGATCAGCCATTATAACAACAATAATCAAATGCCAAAGCAAAAGTAGATAAGTTACTACTACCTGCAAGAAAGCATCATTTTACGTCTGCAAGACTGCTCTATTTTTGTAAAATGGAAATGAAAACTAGTTTTTGAAACAATCTTTCTCCATAGCCTTAACTTCAAATGAGAACAGTATAAAATAGCTATCTTTTCCTAAGAGGACAACAAACTCATGTCCCTTTTATCAGCAAAGTCACTCAGATGGTTTGACCAAGATCTCTTCTTAGCTCCATTTCAGATAGACACAGTGACAAACAAGTACAAAATAAATAAATTTGTCTCGCAGTTTTTCAATTTTAGATGGCAACCATTGCTATCTTTGCTGAAGCTTGGCAAGTTCAAAGTCATACTGGGGTACTAGAAAACCATTTGTTTTTTCCTGAAAATGTAAGAAGAGAATAGCATTAAGTATGTTACAGTTCAACCAAACTCCAGTTTTGCAAAATGATGAGAGAAACAAAGCTTTTAAGCTCGACAGCACAGTTGTAATCTGTGGACAGGATTGGGCCATTTAAAAACCCAAACCCACTGTGTGCAGATCATGCCATGGCCTTTATAGTTCAGCCCACCCTGCAGCCTTGCCTGCCGTGGGAACAAGAATTTGTATTTCTCCCTTTTAGCCGACTGCCACCTTTCACACAAGCTGAACTCAGAATCCTGCCCCTGCGCCCTGGTGAGCTGGGTTAGATAAGAATCATGT